AACACGAGGTCGCCGTGCTAAAGACATAGTATTTGTTTAGCTCCTTTAGTCGTGATGGTTTTCTTTAACGCCCTGAAACCAGCCTGTTGTTGAGAATTCGAGCGGAAGAAATCGAATATTCAGCAAATCTTTCACCCTGGACTGAACCTCTCAGTCAGCTGACCGCGTGCCACACGGCTCGCGGCGTTTTTTACACGTCTGTTTTGTTTCGACAGTCGATGCTGAGCGCTCAAAGCTCTGGAAATGATAAGAAGTTCGCTGAAGTGCTCGCGCTGTCCTGTGACTTCTGGGCAGTGTGCTGATGTTTCTGTTCTCTCTCTGCTTACCTTTCACACCGAACGCCGTCATTTATTTTGACTGTCGCGAAAACACCGCTGCTATCAAAACAACATCCATTTTTAATGATGCATGACTGATCGCCGTGAACATCTGTGCGCTCAATGATCTGTCATCACAGATAGTTTGTTACAGAATCTCTGAAAGCTCATCAACAACCTCTGTGAACTCTGTCACAGGACCAGATGAGCATTTTCTCCCAGCACTGCGTCTACACATGACCTCTCACCTCCTGCTTCCTCCTCTTCTCACCTCCAGTAGATGTGAGTAGAGAGCTGGCTGCTCCAGGAAGTGTTTGATTTCAGCCCCGGGACTCTGGTCACTGGCTAAGCTCTGGAGCCTGTGTTTCTGTTCTCCCAGCTTCTCTTGGTGCTCTTCCCCTCGTTTGTGGCCTAACACTTTACAGATGCCTCCAGATCCATACCTCGATAAATAAAGCAAAACTAGCCAGCAGCGCTCCCGCTGGCACGTCCTGGTTTAGTGTTAAATGTTAGCTGTTCAGCCAAAAAGACTCTTTCTCTGATTCTGCTGCAGACTCTCTCTCTTCACAGTAGTTTATGTTCTGCTGCTGTAATTAACTGCTCTGTGTTAGTAGTGCTAATCAGTTTGTATTTGGAGTAATGTGCCTGTTGAGCTGTTTCATGCAGGTCTGAAAGCTCACACATGATACCAGCTCACCTTTATTTTGACGGCTGTGAACAGACATGCTGTCAGCAGTTACTCTGTTAGGATCTGATGGTTTAAGAGGCCTGTGCGAACGTCTACAGCTGGACCAGGACTCGCTCACGTCGCAGCTTCTCTCCTGTTTGGAACTTGTTGTTTAGAGCGTTTCAAGGTTGTATTTGCCTTTCGAACCGTGCACAGCGTGAATAGCTTAACAGGCTCCCAGGGAGCTCGCTAAAGCAAAGTACTTTTCATTCTCGAGGAAAAACCCTCATTCACTGGCCCTGTCCTCACCTCCTTGATAAGTTACAACCAGCCATTTCCAGGTCTCACACTTGCACCTATTGTGCTGCCACTCGGTGGAGATCGTTTACCGTTAGCTTGTTCAATTAACCCAGCAGGCATCCAGCATGTGTATGAAGCTTGTGGCTGATGGAAAGGTGATCCTTTTACATACTGGGCCGTTTGGATTTTGCCACACAGTTCCCGTGTGAATTTGGCCTTTTCAGTACAAAGGGAGACCTGTTAACCTCACCCTTACTCCAAACGGGTTAAAAACATTTAACGTCCAACCCTGCATCAGACATTTATGTTCTCACATGCACCTCTGTTGAGTAACGTCCAGAGAAGTGCATGGCTGCATGGCTGCAGGGCTGCAGGGCATGTGTGAGAATGATGTAAGACTTGGGAATAAAAATAAAGGTTATTTTAAACTGCTGCAGATTAGGTGGCTAAAAGAAGAGCACCGTGCATATGGAAATATGAACACGGCACTTAACATTCCCTGGAAATGTAAAACATTCCCTTGCACCCCAACAGAGGATATCGGCATCTTTCAAAGCCGCGACGGAAAATCCTGAGTGAAAAGGGCAAACATCTTGGCAGATATCCTGCCCGCACTGAGGCTCGGTCATTCCGAGGCATACTTTCCACTTAGACCCATCCAGACACTCTAACTGGTTGGCCACTGGCAGAAACGATATCTGCTCCCCGTGTTTTAGAGGTCGTGTGTCCCGTGTAGCCCGAGATGGATGGGATGAGATGAGGGGTCAAGTCCTTGCTCACTCTGTGTCCCACTTTGGTGACAATGAAGCATATTCTGGTTGCTAGCACGCAGCGATCTTGGTGGAGATAAAGGCTTTATTCATGTGCTGCGGGCGGTCACAAAGAGGCAGATACAGCTCATCAGATCACAGGGGACTGGAGGAAGGGATGGAGAGAAGAGAGCGCAGTGACACGACGAATCAGGAGCTGCTTCTTCAACCAGGCGTTTGTGCCTGATGTGTCCAGCCGGGACCCGAGTGCAGTCGAGAGAAGCTGCTCATTAACCTCGTGCAGTGACGGGCATCGCCTCCACCGCCGGCCACACCGGCCCCCCTGCCCCGGGCTGCTTCTGCCCTCGTCAGTGTAATCAGCCGTGCTACATGACCAGATGAAGCCCCTCATTAATGAAGTGTCACAGGGTCCCTGTGACACTTCATTAATGAGGGGTCCGCCCACGCCACCTGTCCAAGTAAAGGACATCTCAGAGCTGCAGCTGAACCTGAGAGTCGTTCATTTGTGTGTGCATACATGTAAAGACCACACAGGTGCCTACATGCACTTATGCACAACATACTGGGGCCAAAATCTGCACCAGCTGAGCGCCGTATACTGGTCAATACTGGAAGATGGTCCAGTGTAGTGACGGTTATGACTTCAAGGCTTCTTGAGCTGTAATCAAGGTTCAGTTGAGCTGTGTGTCTGTGAACACAACGTGTTGTAACATAAGCAAATGTCGTCTCACCTGATGAGTGAAAACGCTGCTTTGAGTCACTGGTTTGGCACCAGTGGGGTAAACACCAGCTCTTGAGCAAAGTTGGTCAAAACTTGGTGAGACTTGGTTTGTAGGTGCCGAAGAGTTTTTATGGACAGAAGAAATCTGCTGGACATTAGCTGCTTACTAAAGAGCCTCACACGAGGTGCCTAAATCAGCCGTCCCCAACCGACGGCCCGAAAACCACGGCCCGGAACCAAGTACGGCCGCAACGTTCACGCCGGAAACGACCCGCCGGAACCACACCACCGAACACACACGGCCCGGAACCAAACGAACCACGGCCCGGAACCAAACGAATCACGGCCCGGAACCAAACGGACCACGGCCCGGAACCAAACGAATCACGGCCCGGAACCAAACGAACCACGGCCCGGAACCAAACGAACCACGGCCCGGAACCAAACGATACGGCCCGGAACCAAACGAACCACAGCCCGGAACCAAACGAACCACGGCCCGGAACCAAACGAACCACCGGACCAACCACGGCCTGGAACCAAACGACTCACAGGCCTGGAACCAAACGGCTCACGGCCCGGAACCAAACGAACCACGGCCCGGAACCAAACGAACCACGGCCCGGAACCAAACAAACCACGGCCTGGAACCAAACGATTCACGGCCCGGAACCAAGCGTCAGAGCTGATGCTCAGGTGTGAAATTTCTGGTTTTCAGGGTTTTTATCGTTAACTCTGTTTCCCTGGGTCTAGTCCCGTGTTGTCTTATTTTGAAAGAAATGTTTACGCGTTACCATAGCGATCAGAGAGCCAAAGAGGAGGATGTTACTCTCAGTGTTGTTGGTGCATTTCAGGAGAACGCTGCTAATAAAGTTACACAGTTACACATTGATTTCGTGTTTATATTATATTTACAGAATCGCACAGTTTCTGTCTCGGTCGTATCATTTTATTTTGTTGTATTTATCCGCGACACCTTAAAGGTCGGTCCATGAAAATATTGTCTGACATTAAACCGTCGGTGGAGCAACAAAGGTTGGGGGCCGCTGGGCTGCATGATTAAACCTGCAACACAAATTGAAGAAACTTCTCAAAATTCCTTGAAGAGTTTCAAGGAAACTCAAAGTAAAGCACTTTGACTGTCTGTGAAAAGCGCTTAATAAATAAATTCTACTTACTTACCAACGCTCCAAAAACACTCAAAGCTTTGGCTCCTGTCTGCTGCAGGCACTGCTGAGTTACTTGTTTATGAAAGAATGAATGCAGTGCATAAGTTTGTCTTTGTTCAGTCCTACTTTTCATTTATTTAGCTCTTAAAATGCTTTTTACTTTAATAACCCTGAACGTGGCTGAGACCAGGCGCAGGTATAAGTCAGCTTTGTGGTTTTCTGTCAGCTGATACTTCAGCGCAGGTTTTAGTGGGATTCGGCTCTTTGCTGCAGCACCATGCAGTAGTTCTACTGCCTGTCTTTGATTTCCAGCTGTACTGTAGCAGGGATGACGTGGCTGAATTTGAGAGTAGATGAGGGTTTTATTTGTCCTCAGCAAAAGTTGGAATTCTAGCAAAAGAGAAAAAGAAGCCTGGGAGGAAGGAAGGAAGGAAAGGAGGGGTGATGGGAAGCGTGGATGGACAGGTTTTTATCAGGTCTGTGTTTCTATAAATAGCTCATTCTGCCTTCATCTGTCTGTTTTCACCCAATCACCACGCTGCCTCGGTCCAAAAGTCGCTATTGATTAAGGACAGAAGCAGACGCGCTCTGCTCGGCGAACCTCGCATACAAATCTGTCACTGCCGATTTATAGCTTAGGCTTGTCGCATAATCCCATTAGAGTCCTTTAAGCAAGGCATCTTCAACTGATCCTCCTGCTTTGAAAAGTGGGGAGAGGTCTCCTCCTTCTCTGACAGGGAGGACGAGGAGGAGGATGAGGAGGAGGAGGATGGTGGTGCCGCTTTGGAGTCACATGACTGATTTGTGTCTGTTGCGGGGAGTGCAGGCAGCTGGCCAAAGTCGTCCCTCCCTCTCTCTCTCCATCCTTCGCTCTGTCTCGCGCTCTCTCGCCCTCGAACACACGCGTTCGTTAGCGCGCTACAGCAGATTGCATGCGTGCGTCCGTGCATGAGTGCAGCCAGCTTCTGCAGATACACATGTGGTGACCGTGTGCCGTGCTGTGGCCCGAGCTGCCCGATCACTAACCATGTCCCTCTTGTGTTGCTTCTCTCTCAGGGACTATGGCTCCAAGCGCAAGTCGGGTAAGTCCAACGTTTTTCTTCATAGCTCTTCCTAAAGTTGACTTTAACCTTCCTTCTCTTTCCACTTGTTGCTCCTTGAGATCCACATCCAGGGGGGTGGGGGGGGTTGTGTCACGTACGAGTCTTAAACAGGACTGCGGATTGTCTGCCGCTCATGTGATGTCAGTGTGTGGTTTGTAAACTAGCCCTGCTCTGTGCTTTGGGCTGGGTTCAAACAGCTGTCAGGCTGTTTCCTTCTGGCTGCAGATTTGCCTCACAGCCCAGGGTGGGGTTCAGAAATATCTAGTAGCTTTTTGGCACGTCAGAATAAAGTCGTTAGAGATCTGATGCGATCAGAACGACTGGATTGTTTCCCCGAGTCTTCAGTCGAAGTGGCAGGCAAAGCATTCTGGGTGACACACGTCTAGTTTCCTTAATAATTCAACATGAAGATGAAGGGATGTGTCTTTTTCAGCACAGGTGCGTCTGAAGGTACGGAGATCAACCTGATCATTGGCTGTCAGAATAAGGTTAATAGCATTCAGTAATAAATGTCATGGCTGGGCTAGTAAGCAGAAAACAACCATCTGACTGTAAAACCGTGACTGTGAACGCGCTTTAGCCTCATTAAGAAGGTATTAGCTGCTTAACAAAAGACTGGTACATGTGAGTCGCTCATCTATGGGAACCCTGCATGTTTAAGGCTGTAGAAATGCCTCCTTATGAATTATTGAAGGGAAAATGCAGGAAGTAGGCTGTGGATATCGGAGACTATGGTTCTCTTGGCCTACTTGATGTCTTGATTTCCAAGCAGCTTGAAGGTTGTGATAGGTGATTTCCTCTGAGAAGAACACTCTGGCAAATGATCGTGAGTTTATTTTTGGCCTGAAAGCACAGAGCTGCGAGAGACGGGTTATTATTCAGTTACGTCCACGTACCTCGCAGTGATTTGATTTCTCGGAGGCTGATTGCTTCTGCGGAAAAGCAGCTTGTGATTTTTCACTGCAGGCTCTGAGGCAGGCGGCTCCTGTAACATCCGCGTCTGCCGATGTGGTCTTTGGGATGTTGCCCGGTTGGACGGCAGCCCACTGACCCACTCGTCTCCGCTGCAGCACGACCTCAAGTATCATGAAGTCAGTCAGTGTTGCAACAGGGTGTCTGAACTTCTACTTTAAATTTCAGAGAGATTACAAAACGTCTGAAACATTTCAGTAAGTGCAAAGTAAAGGAACAGTATCTGTTAACGAAGGAAAGGCGCCACACTTCTTCTGTGGTTTGGTTCTGGCAGAGACCTGGAAATGGCAGAACCAGGTCGAGTCCTTATATACCAAACATGTCCGAGTTTACACGCAGAGGTGGTGAGTTACGGTTAAAGCTGATTAAACCGTTTAGCTGTCGAGCGTTCAAACCGTTCACTATCTGCTGTACGCACAGAAACCCCCACAATGCATCCTGGTTGCTGCTCATTTACCAACATTTACAGTCACAGCTGTTAGTCTCACTGTTCATTCTTCTTCATACTGCAAGTCATCATCGTCTTCTCCGTACTTCCGTGTTGAAGTTTGAGGGGACGGTCCAGTTCTGTTTAAACGTGACCATTAAAGCTCATCACAGCTAACATCCAGCATGACCTTTAACCTTTCACATCCACACTGCAGAACAGCGTCTTTGTGACTCACATGTCCTTTGAAATAATTTCACATTATTGATTTAATAATGAATTATGGTCAGCTAACTGTTTTAGCGTCCATCAACAGCTCTGTGCCAAAACGTAGGCTGCGTCCTCCTGAGGCCGATTACAACGCGACAAAGATTTGAAGGATGGGTCGGGTGTGTCCTTTGTGGCCCACCATATCCCAGAATTCATAGCGTGGCCCAGCCAATTCCAGTTTCCAACAATGGCAGCTACTCAGTTTAAATATTACTCTTATTAATCTTTCTGGGTCACAAAATAAACTTTTAAGATATTTTCAGGCTGTGCAAACTTCTGTTTGTCAAGACATCACATACTTGCAAAATTGGTCCAATGTTTTCGGAGACGCCTGTTACCCACCCGCTCGATAGCTGACCGGGAGATCAAGGGTCACTCGAGCCGACGATAACAGCCCCCCCCCCGCCCCGCGCTCTTTCCCTACTCAGGTTTAACGTAATATATGAGTCACTTAGATAATTTAAAAATGTTATTGTTTGGCTTTTTTCAGTGTTTCATTTGTTCCTGAGTAGAGGGACAAGAAGGCTAGACCGTCCAGTTTCACGGCCCACGTAGACCGCGGAGGCCGGGTCCACAGGAGGATGCGGCCTCCTGTGGACACTGCTAATGTTAGCTTACTGTTAGCATTGTACTCCCGACTGCTGGCTAACAGTTTAACAGCTAGCCATACCTTCAGCTTAACACATTTTGTTGATTATTAGCTAACAATATATTCATGCCTATAGTATTAGTCGATACCTTTGGCTAATTCAACGCTTTACTTTTTGAACAGTTGCTTATTTTATTATTATTATTAATCAAGTCATTAATCAAACTCAGACGTGTTCAGCTCAGTTTTTTCTTCCCTGGTTTTTCATGTCTGACTCCTGCAGGGCTGTTGGGCTCACTGAATGTCATATTGAACAAATCTCTGACCTGACTGTTCTCCACCAACACCAGGCGTCTGCAGTAATGCCTGTTTTCTGTCGTCTGCACTAATTAGCCTGATTAGGAGACCCTGGCTGTCGCTGTGCTGCGCAGACGACACGGACGATCTGCTGATGCTTTCAGTTTTCCTCTTCCAACAACACAGGACATAAAAATGAAGAACTAGTCCTTCATTTATTCCACAAACGAGACATAAAGCACAGCTTTGTGTTGGCAAAAGTAAAAATTGGTTTCTTATCATTGTTGTTTAATCGTTTATAAGATGAAAGAACATAATGGAAAGAGAACAGCTGATCACTGGTGACAGCTGCAGATGCTCATCTGTGATGGAGGGTTTGTGCGTCGTGAGGCTTACAGGAAACCAGTCTGAGTGCTGGTTATTATTCTCTGGCCTTCACATTGTGAAATCATAGGCAGGTTTAGTCTGTTGCCACATTATTGTGTTTGGCCTTCCTTTGTTTGCTGTGCGCAGAGATGATGTTGGTTGCATCTGCCAACAGCCGTCCTGTTAATTTGAAACAAACCGTTGGTGGCGGTGCATCCGTCACTTCCCCCGAATCAAAACACTTTTCGCAAAAACACAAGATGTTTCTCACAACAGACGTAAACTGGTTGTGTAACTACACAAATTCACAACAGATGAGATGGAAGTTGTGTCGCTTGTTTAGCGCACGTAATCCCCCACGATGAAGGCCAGAGGCCATAGACGTGATGAACAGTCAGCGTTTGTCGCTGACGCGGTCGTTTGCAGGTCTCTCGGGCGTCAGGCGGACACGTGCGAGTTAAACATCGTCAGTTTGAGGGGAGCGCGGCTCGTACTCCTCCGTGTGAGAGGAGCGGGCGGAGGAGGGAGGCGCAGCTGTGCGGCAGGAGCGTGTTTGTTTACGTGGCGCAAGAGATAAGATTTCAGACGTGTGTGTGTGTGTGTGTGTGTGTGTGTGTGTGTGTGTGTGTGTGTGTGTGCAAGTGTGTGTCAAGTGTTACAAAGGTCATTTAAGCAGTTTTACAGTCAGTGTTGAGCAGTTTGCATGTACGCTGTCCACCTCAGGCTGCTGTTTGCACATCAGTGAGCTCCTCTGTCAACACACACACACACACACACACACACACACACACACACACACACACACACACACACACACACACACTTTCATGCTCCATCAGCTGCCACTTTGTAACGATAAAACTCTTGTTTTTGTTGACTCCTCCCCTAACGTCACTCTGAGCACCTGTTTGAAGCATGATGTCAGCACAGTGCTGGGTCGACTTCAGCTGAAAATGATCACTGTCTTCTCGAGCTGCATCCACGAGGCTTTGCAGTAATACGGAGCGGCGCGAGTTTGTCCCCGAGGAGCGCTCATTTAAAATTGGAGGAGGTGATGTTTGAGATGGAGGCGAGCCGGGCTGGATTGGGGAGAGGTTGGACTGAAGCGACGGCGTCCTTTGTGGGCAGATGTGATTTGAGCTCCTCGCTGAGATCGGGGGGTTTCACTGGAGTTTGACCTTCACGCGTCTCCTCCTCGTGTTGTTTGCACACAAATGTCGTTTGTCTCCGATGTTTGTGTCGCAGTCAGACTCGGCGTCTCTCCTCGCTAAACGTGGCATCAATGCGAGTTAGGTTTTGCCCGCAGTTTGACATTGTTAGTGCCGGCGTCCCCGTCGGCCGCTGTGCTTTTTCACGAGTGCTGAATCGATGCTGGTTTCTGTGATTTGTTACTGGTCCCTTTTGTCTTGGTGACGGGGTGATGGTGTATCCTTCTGTGGTAGCGCAGCGTTGGCTGGCTGTGTAATGACTTTTCAGAGGTAAGGCTGGAGCTTCACTTTGACGTTTTTAATGGGGATTAGTGGACTTTGCTTATCTGATAAATATTTACAAGTGCAGAGAAAATGCTCGCGTACTCCACCCAAATTAAATATTCTATTATAAGTGTCTTTGGCTCCGTCTCCCCCCGACAGGCTCAGCCTGCTCCCCACTCTGTGTTCAGCACCAGTTCAGCACCAGTGGGTCCCAGCTGTGTGCAGTTAGGTTCATGCTCTGTGTCTGACCCCAAAGTTTGGACCTCCTGATTAGATAATGACTGACTGAGACATTAATCGCTGACACATTCTTGTATTCAGTTGTGCTGTGTGGGACCGTAGCTGCAGCTTTCCTTGTGCTTTCTTCTGATGTTGAAACGCAAACGTTAGCATGCTAAACTGCAGCGGTGCGCATGCCAACCATTGTAGCTGCTAGCATTGTCACATCAATGGCTAACTGACATTAGCACTTAGCACAAGGTACCACTGTGCAGACTCTCAGAGCTAGCCTCGGTGTTGACGCCACGTGCAGCTTTCAGCAGGTGCTGCTACTCAGATGTGTTTGGTTGACCGATGGTGAAGAAGCGTGACGATCGCGGCGGTTTTGGTAGTTTGCTGGTCTGAAGCATTCAGGTCCAAGGTCAGAGAAACTCCTCACACCAGCTGTCGGTGGCACGGTGGTGGAGGGATGATGTTTTGGGCACCGAGCAGTCGCTCAGGAGACGCTGAACACTTCTGTTTACCAAAGTATGACACAGATGTGAAGCCGTCTGTCTGTCAGCTACACGACGGCGATCACAGCACAGCAGCGCAAACACTACGTCCAGATGAACTCCAACTTTCATTATAAGATTATTTCCTGTTTTTACTCTTGTGGCAGATCATGTTTTCAGTCCATTTTCTTATAAATTGGTTGAAAATCTCTCTGATAGTTACATGGACACTACAAACATCAGCAGCAAATCAGACGCTGATTTTGGGGGAATTTAAATGCATCATATTGAGATTTCCAATCAAAGCGTTCATGCTTCCTGTGGTGCTTCAGAAAAGTCGTACAGATATGCACTCATGCAGTCCTCAGGCAACGCGTTCATCTTGTTGATGGACTGATTTGTCAGGATGTGCTGTACTGTCAGCAAAATCAACTTTTGTACTTATCATCAACTTGTTGACAGAAAAACTGGACACAGCTGATAGGCCCCTGCAGTCCAAACACAGAGAAAAGGGCCTCAGAGACGTCACTTCTGACGCTTAATTGCTGGGTAATGTAGACGTTTGGGGTCAGAAATGCAGGAAAATTACAGAGGAAACGCTGCCGGGTCGGCTGGTGTGTGGCATCATCTTCCAAGCCTGAAAAGAATTAAGTGTCCGTGTGCGTGTTTGTTTGAAGGGGGAGAGGGTTAGTGTGGAGAGCAGAGCTAATATCATTCAGATGTTGCGAGCAGCTCTGAGAGCGGCGGGTGGGGAATAATAACGGTAGACTGTCAGTGTGTAGGGTGTGACCCTGGCTGACCTGGGACCAGCCGTATCCCTCCCTGTGGGGCTAACTTCAATCCACCGGAGCTCCCGAGGCTCAGGAGGACGACGAGAGGGGATTTAGCTTTTATTATCTCACGTGAGTCCACGGAGGAGAGCCGCGGCCTCACGACAGGGACGGCGCCCAGTACAGCCGCGAATCAGAGCGTCCGTTTACCTCAGTGCTGAATTTGAATGTGGACTCTGCTGTGCTTTATTTGATAAAGACCTGCTTCTGATCATCTTTGAACTGCTGTTCGCTCAGAACACATGCGCACAAACCTTTTTTCTGTTTGGCTTCTTGAACGTTTTTGTTCCAGTTTAGATATTTAACACTTCTGGCTTTAAGCTTTTCCCATCTTACAGAAGTCTGAGAACCTGCTCAGCCGCCTGCTGCCGTCAGCATTGTGCGCTGCAGAAAACAGATGATGTGGTTGGAGTATTCACTGCTCGTCTGTGTGCTGGTGTCCTGAACGACTCCCTGTAGTGCGCTCCACACTCACTGTCTGCCGTTTTATTGGAGTGTAAACCTGTCAGAAATGCTCGTTTGATGCTCGTTTCCACAGCTTTGATAGAAACACTGTTTCGTCAGACTCGTTTACCCTGTTTGATATTCAGCTTATTTATACTGCAACGCTCCACATACATAAGTTTATCCTCGTGTTTATTCTTTAGTGTTCAAATGAAACATTTTCACCGATTTGGCCCCGAAACAGAAGACTGCCATCGGCCGGGTCACCAGCGATCCGCTGGGGTCGGGTTAGGGCTGCGTCTCAGCCGCACAGTCGCTGTTTCCAGAACTACGAGACGCTTCAGATGTTGAGCTTCAGATGAGGTGTTGTAGATGCATTTAGGCCTCTGCCGTTGGGTTAAATAAGCTGCGTCATTTCTAGTGTTGTGGAGGCGCCTCCGTGCTTTGATCCTTGCTATGACTTTGACGTGCTTCTTTGAGTTTGGTCTGGTTCGAGACGACGCTTTAAGTCATCACAGTGTAGTCGCTGTGTCATGCTCGCACCTCCCCGTCTCCTCTGATGCATTGCGTTTAATTTCCTGGTTTGGGGCTGCTGGTGTTTTCGGTGTGGAGACTTTAGAAGTGGCTCACGCCCCTCAGACATTCCTCACACAGCGATGGAAGAAATGGAGAAAGATGAAACGGGGGTGGGATGGGTGTAGCGAGAAGTGGAGCTGGTGTGTCATTCCTGGATCCGGTGCTAAATGTGAAAGGATCTTATCTGTGCCACGTTTTATTTCGTGTTCAGTGGGTGTGAGAGCGGCGTGCTGCAACATAGTTTTGCTTCTGCATGCCGTCAAACTGAATAATCTCTCTCTGCTTCTTTCCTTCCTTCTCCTCGTCTGCAGTGTGGATGTACGGCTTTACAGACAGCCCGAGGAAAGAGGCCTCAGGTAGATATGCATGTGCTGCTGTGCTCGCGCGACATGCTAGCTGCATCCCTTTTAGGTTTTCGTTTTATTTCTTTTCGCACTTCAGCTTTCTCTCAACATCTGCTTTGCATGCTCCCCTCTCTTTCCCCCAACCCATCCGCTTAAATTCAGCTTCTCTGTCTGCAGCGTTCTCATCCATCTCCGGGTGGATAGAGCTGCTGGAGCCATAAAGCTGCTGGCTGCAGAACGTGGACTTCAGGCCTGCATGTGGTGCATGAAGTGCATTGGTGTGAAATAAGGTGTCAAGTCTGATCTTTCACATTTGTTTTGATCGCTGCCGCTGAGCTCCGTTAACTGTGGGAGTGCAGGAATGATGAGTGAGGGCGACCAAGGAAGAACAACAGCTGATGTTCCAGCTGAGAGCATTTCTCCTGACAGTATACAAGCGCGTAGCTTCGTGTAGCTTCACGTATCCGAGGCTCAGATATCAAAAGTTGTTCCTTAAAACTGTCAAAGTGCTGCTTTGGGACAAAAAGTAATTGTAAAACTTTCTCAAACATTATTAACTTAGACAAGGAATGTTTTGCAATCAGTTCTGGAATATCGAAGAAGGAGGAAAGCGGTCTTTATTGCTCAGCAAGGCGTGGTTGCCATTACCGCAGCGTAAAGCTTTCAAATAGCTGGATCTGTGCTGCTTTATTACTTCAGGCTGGCTTTGACTGCGTCCTCCACGTACGCTGCTTACTCACTCACACATTAATCCTGCTGGAGGAGATGCTAAAGTGGAATTCCCGCCCTCACCCAGTGGTGAAGTAAATTTATGAGCATTCCAAGGTGTTCGATGCCAGTCCTGCTTCACATGCGAAGATGCTTAACTGTGTTTCAGGCGTACTAAAGCACTAAATGCCTAACATTTTCCGAGATGCTTCAATGCTAGCTGCATTCTGTGTACTGCAGGACTAAAGACAGTTAACCTTAACAGTGGGGTGTCCAGACTCTCCCCCAGAGATAGGGTGAGGAGTTCGGCTGTTCAGGACAGGCAGCGAGCAGCGTCGCTACTCCATCATCTGACTGCCTCCTGGACTCCTGGGAGGACACATAAACCAGGGGTGGGGACCTCCAGGCCTCGAGGGCCGGTGTCCTGCAGGTTTAGATGTGTCCTTGATCCAACACAGCTGATTTAAATCACTAAATGACCTCCTCAACATGTCCTGAAGTTCTTCAGAGGCCTGCTAAGGAACTACTCATTTGATTCAGGGTGCAGGACACCCTGAATCAAAAACCTGCAGGACACCGGCCCTCGAGGCCTGGAGGTCCCACTCCTGCTATAGACGGATTAAAGGTGGATCTAGCTGGTGTGATACCATCCACTGGTTTCTGAAGTCTCGGTTTGTCAATGTCAGGATTAATTAAGTTTTTTATTCAATATGATCCCAAATACGTGACCACAGGCTCAGCAGAAAAGTCTTTACTGAGGTCAAGTCAGAAAGCCGTTTTCCCATCGCTCCCAAGGCTTTTTCTTCAATGGTATCGCCCCCTGGTGGTCATTATAAAGAAGGGGAGTTTGAGGCTGTTCCGCATTGATGTCACCTTTGAGATGTAGAAGCGGTGTCCAGAGACCCCGGGACAGACCCCGATGACGTCTCTCGACTGGCTCGTGTCTCATCTCCTCCCAGAGGAGCTGCTGAACCACAAATCACACATGTGGCAGAAATGGACGAATTTTTCATTTTGTTCGCTAAAATCTAGTGAAATCGAGGGTTTTGGAGTTCAGGGTAGGAGTTATCACCAGTAATGACCTCAAAGGGTCCAGTTATTGGACCAGTTTGGAAAGTGTGTGTTTTATAGTGTTTTGGCCCCACAGCACCTGTTTACTTTTACTTCCTGCATTAACGTTCGGTTCCTGAAACTCTCGCTAAAGCGTCTCTGTGAACAACAGGATGTGGAGTAATTGCTAGTCAAGTTCATCTGAGTCTGCATGGGGTCACCTCCCTGTGGCCAAACAGGCAAATAAGCGTTTCTGATAGGCAGCATGTGACGTGAGCAAAGCGCTGGCGTCTAAGAGGTTAAACACTGGAGCGGAGGGAGAAAACAGAGCGGGTTAACCCAACTGCAACTCTTTCTTCTTTTGTTTCACGTAAACATGGACCCAGCCTCCTCCTCTGTTTCTCTCTCTCTAGTCGTCTCATATGTTTCTATTTAAGGCCAGCAGTGCCGACTGCTATGATTGGTGTGCTCACCCCCCCTCAGACTCCCCCGTCCAACGGCTGGCTCCCAGAGGCGGCGGAGGGGAGGCCTTTCCTCTCAACCGCACTGTTGATTTTCCACAGGGAAACTTCACCATTCCTCCACTCATTCGTTCCCCAGTCTTCCCTTCAGACCGTTAGCAGCTCTGCTGTTTCTCCTTTTTCTTTCCCCCCTTTTTTTTCTCTCTCTTTCCTTTTTGGATTTGGGAGTTTGTCATGGATCCTCTGTAGATGTCAGATGGAGCGCCTACAAACTTCTCCCTTCGCTTCTTCGCTTGTGTTTTGACTCCTTCCGATGCTCCTCGGTCGTTCGCTGCGGGCCAAGGGTCGACTCAGCTGTATGGCCAGACGTTTGGGACTATGCAGCCAAGTCGTGTGGTCGCATTCTGATTGGGCAGGGACGCACAGCGGCGGGGAGCGGGGTTCGGCCGATGGAGACGTACCGGGCGCGCGGCGGCAGCGCGGTTGGTTGCGGCGGGCGTTCGCGGGGTGCCACGGCGGGCAGGTGGCTGACGGCCTGTTTCTTCCCCTCAGGGATTGACAGCTCGGAGCCCATGGTGCTGGAGCAGTACGTAGCCGTGGCCAACTACGAGCGGCAGGAGAACTCTGAGATCAGCCTGAAGGCCGGCGAGACGGTGGACGTGATCGAGAAGAGCGAAAGCGGTGAGTGGATGTTTTTTTGCTCTCAGTTTACATGCCGAGCATCAAGTGCTGACTTAGATCTACAACCAAACATCGTAGCTCACAGGTGTTGTGTTGAAAACAAAGGAAAAGTGCGTTTTCTGCACACGCTTTGAACTGCTTGACATGTAGTTTGATTCTTCCTGTTTGTACAGTGGCATAAACACACAAAACCACGCTCACTCAGCGCCTCTCTGGATGCTGTCTCCTGTCCTCTTGATTATGTTTCCTCCTTTTAAAACCCCGTCATGTACACACGGCTGCCTCCTGCGTCTCCTGGCTGGGCTTGGCACCACCTGGAGGTGCTGTTTGGCTCTGAGAAGTCGGGTTTGTGGACAGGAATGTCCAGTAATCATATGTGTGCACACACACCACCTCGACAGAGTTTGCTTCATCAGCAGACGCTCCACGCTCTACCTTGCCTTTCCCCCGTTGGAATTCTGTTTAGCGACCTCGGAGCTGGATCTGATTTTCCGTGCTAACAGCCACTGACAGCCAGCAGCTTGCACAACTCACAGCAGAAACTCTGGCACAGACACAGCACGTCGCTGCGTCTCTCAGCTCTTATCTGTACTCTGATTACACATGAGTCCATACTCTTCGAGATATCCGGAGCTCGCACGTCTGTGATTACGTGCACTATTGAGTCCGTTTAGGCTGCAGCTCAACATTTTTCACATCTTTGTTTATTTGGCGTTTTGTTTGTTTGCAGTTTGAACACATCAGCATAAATGAGACGATTTTTATGGGAAGTTTAGAGAGAGCGAAGGCGTCGCATGGGAAGCTGGTCCTGTCTCGATGAGGAAGACGAGAGAACTGCAGCTTTGTTTATGATGTTATGAAATATCGTGTAGGACGAAAACAGTTTTACTTTTTGAAAACATGACATTCCTTTGAACTTGAAAGATAATGTAAATACATGAAAGCAAGTAATGCTGGAAAAGGTGAGCATGTGGTGGGACACGGGCTCAGCTGACTGTACAACCCCTGCAGCGACTCGATGTTTCCAGGTCGTACAGCTGGTCCATACGTGGGTGGCGTGCGGTGAAAATCTCACCTGATCAAACTTTTCATGACTTTTTCTAAAAGTTTTTGAGTAAATGAACTGTTTAGAGTTTAGAGGTGGGTGAAACATTTCATCATCATCCAAATGACTTCTTCAGGTTCCTCCAACCTTCCAAAGAGCTCATTTGCATAACGAGCGCACCGCAGACCTCCCTCAGACCCCCCGCCCCGGTTCAGCGATGGTCGTTCCTTTTTTATCACCAATGGCTCCTTGACTCCTTGCTCACTTGATGCATATGAAAGAAAAAAGGACTCATATAGCTTGTTTTTGTTTTCATAATCGTTCAAAGCTGAAACTGTAACAAGAATAAAAACCAGTTATTAATGTCAAGTGTTCTTAGAAACTCTCGACTCTTCTCACATAACTTTGATCGCAGGCACCGTTTGGTGTTAGGCGCACGCATCGCTGAACGTTTTATGTCACGAATATTCATGTTGGCTCAAGTTGCACAGTAGTTTCTCCCTGTGATCCTGTTTCTGTGCATGAGGCCTGACAGCAGCTGCTCACCAGGCGTGTTTAAAAGCAGCGTGGATGCAGAACTCGGAGCGATAGGAGCGGCTTCTGAGCTCTCGGGAACTCGTCTCAGAGCTGGATGTGTGCGCTGTCGTCATCTGCTGAGCCAAGGAAGTGGAGCAACGGTGATGATGATGATGGTGACATCACTTGGAGACTATGCCAAGGCAAACACATCTGAGAGCTCGAATAATATCCCACAACCCCCTTCCTGCTTTTCAAGGCTTTCCTGCAGCCTCCTGGTCTGATGTGCTATGTTCTGTCTTCAATGCAAAGACACTGACAGTGGGGCTGTTAGTTACAGCTTATTTTCTTTTAATGCGTGGAGTGGAGTGGTATTTTATCCTCTGATCCTCTCCAGGAAATGTTGAAATCCTTTTGTGTACCTGATCTTTTTCATTCACATGCACATTTTCTTTTCTCTGCACACTCGACGCACATGTTGTTATGCATTTGCTTTTATTTATTCCAGCAGAGAAGGGTTCAGTCAGGTTTTTCAAGTGTCTGCAGGCTTGACCTGACATAATTACGGGTTCAACCGTGGAGCCGGATGTCGTTTATTTTTGCCTCTGTGAGAAGCTATTGGCCTTACAAGTCAAGACCCAGCTGTTTCACTGCAGTGTCGACAAGCTCCGTCATCAGACTGGAAACTGGTTAAGTCATGAGCTCTGTGAGGTGGTGTGCATGCAGCTCGCTTTGTGTATCACTGAACAAGTATCTTACAATTTAGGAGCTGCTAATCTAGTAAAAATAGATTTATGAAGCATCAGGGGGATGGGGCGAACCAGAATCGGTCTGGGCCACCATCCGGGATCGCTCCCTCTGGTCTGGACATGGGAACCATTCAGTGTCTGGAGAGGCAATGTTCCAGCTGGAGAAAATAAATCTGCATATGTGACGAGTTAAATTATATGATGTGTCGGAGTAAGAGGAGGCAGTGATGTGAAGGGACAGAGAGGGAAGGCTGGTGTTTTTAATTAGTCACAGA